ATATTTTAAAGTTTAAATTTTATAATTTTTTAGTTAGGTTAATCTTAATCTATAATTATTTTTATTATACAATAATTATTTTACTAATACACTTCCTAAAAATTAGTTACTAATTATACTTTACCTATATTCCCGCATCTACATGAATACACCCATATTATATGAGACGGATGAAGTATAATTAATCACAATGTTGATTGTGTGAAATCATCATAATGTTAATTTGACCCAATTAACAAATATCTATTAAGAAAATAATATTATATAATTCTATATAACAAAATATATCATAATTTTAGAAAAATATATTTTTATTTCAAGACAATAGTAAATTTGACTCAATTAATAAATATTATAAAGAAAGTAGCAAATATTAATATGATATATAGCACATTATTTAACACAACATGTGCTATTTATTTTATGACAATTTGTTAACTGTTGCAAATTAACGTACTAACTCAGTAATATGTTATTTGTCTTGCGATGATTTGCTAATTACTTTAAGTTGGTTTATTGATTTAGTCATCAACATGGTGCGGAGTTGACGAGATCAGCACCCTACCACCCCTATAATTAATAATACAAAAGCATAGTATGCTAATATGACAAAAATAAACTCTTTTTTCTCTAATATTTCAGTACTTTTTCTCTTAAATTGTCGATTGTTATTATTTGATCTGCAATAATTTTTTCTCCAAGAGTATGATATCGAATATCATCTTTTTTATAATCAAAACATCACATTGAGCAATTATTTATAACATGAACAAACATTTCTAAAAAAACTAATAATTATAGTTTAATATCTAAGTGAGATAGATATGAGTAAAATAGAAATATTATGGGAAAATTACTAAAAAAATTGATAAAAATGGTGTTACATTGAGTAGGAAAGATGGTGACAAATTGTTATATTTTATTACTCTCCTGAACACAAATTTATTCGTATTTTTCTTTTTCATCCGTCCGTTAAATTTACCCAATTACTATATTTAAAAAATAAAATGTCAAAATGTCAATATTTAATTGTTACCCTTCATTACACTTATTTTAAAAAATTACCACTTATTTTATTATATTCTCTCTTCATTCCTTCTCAGTACTAACTAAATTTTCAAAAATACCACTAACTACCATTTTACTTTTTCCGGTTTTTCATTAAAATAGTTATTTTTCTTAATTCTCAAGTCATATCTAAATGGACTAATTCTTGTATTGGATGGAGGGAGTATTTGTGAAGATAACAATAACAAAATTGTGAGCGTATACAGTCTTATAGTATAAATAGATTAGACACTAATTTAGCCGCCAATCAAAAAAGATTATTAACATAACTTTGGTGGAGAACAAAAGTGTATTTTTATTGGGAATTATTCATACTGTATTTTATATATGTTTTGTGAAAGTAAAAAAACCCAAAATAATTGGAAAATACAAACATCTGCAGTAAATGACATGGAAATCACGATTGAAAATTGTAGAGATAACACAATGATAACAAACCATATTATAACCCAATAGACATTAGTAATCTTCAACAAGGAATAAAAATTGAGACGATTGTTAGAAATTAAATTCATAAATTAAAGATCGGGAATATGCAAAACAAATCTAAATTATTTCTATGATAAAAAAAAAGACTGATACACCATGTGTATATTTTTTACATCCTACAAGACCAATGCATACAATCTTATAATTCTAATAGACACGACCTTTCAACACTAACAGAAGACATAACTACCTAGGAAATTAATGGAATAAATAATGACAAATTATAATATATACCTAATTATATAATCAACCAAATACATAATCAGAATTACTCCCAACACTCTCCCCCTTAATTCTGCTTCATGTGTTCTAGATCTTCAATTCCGATTAAATCTCTCATCTCTATGAACTTTAGTTTGGGTAGTGCCTTGGTCAAGATGTCAGCCTTTTGTTCCTCTCCACTGATATGCTCTACATAGATCGAACCCCCTTCAACGCATTCTTGAATAAAATGAAATTTGGTATCAATGTGTTTACTTCTTCCGGGAAAGACCAGATTCTTCATCAAGGATATGGCAGATCTGTTATCCACATACATTCTGCATCTCCCTTTTGAATGTACAAATCAGCCTTTCACTTGTTCCGGTCAAAATCAAATCGTCTACATACACGCCAACTATCAACAGATCTTTAGACATGCACTTCTTTTACACAGCTTGCTCTTGTGGGCACCGCTGAAAGCCAACTCCTTTAAGTGCGCTGTCAAGACGAATATTCCATGCTCTTGGGGCTTGTCGTAATCCATAAAGAGCCTTGTGTAATTTATACACAAATGTTTCCTTTCCTGTGACAACAAAACCATCAGGTTGGGATACATACACTTCTTCCTGTATAATGCCATTCAACAATGCCGACTTTACATCCAAATGGTGGACACGCCATCCTTGCGAAGCTGCCAACGCCAATAGCAACCGTATAGTTTCAAGTCTAGCTACCGGTGCAAACACTTCCTCAACGTCCACTCCTTGTCTTTGTACATATCCCTTTGCCACTAACCTTGCTTTGTGTTTCACAATATTGCCTTCAGCATCTTTCTTTAATTTAAAAACCCATTTCAGTCCGATGGGTTTCTTTCCTTGGGGAAGTGTTGTCAATTTCCATGTTTGATTTTTGTTTATTGCTTCAAGTTCCTTCTGCATCGCCTCCTTCCAATTTGCATCAGTAGACACCTCCTGGAATGATGTCGGCTCCTCTCCAACAAACGTCAATTCTTCTCCTTCACCCTCTACAACATCTGATTGTGCATAAACGTCCGAAAGAGAGCGAAACCCACGAATGGGTGTGTGATCGAATGCTGTCTGACTGGCTTCTTGGCTACCATCAGATGTCTGAATCAATGGACTATCTCGAGAGGCTGAATTCCTTAAGGAGTCTGCACTTCTTGTCACTGATAACGGCAGAGTCTGGTCATTAGTTGTTTCGAATTGATGTATTGGACTTCCAACTCCATCACCAACTGGATCTCGACTATCACCTTCATCTCCACCAGGAACGTGCTCATTAAACCATCCAAATCTTGTGCTTGATTGAGTGCCTTGCTGTTCACTCCAATTCCATTTGGCTTTTTCATCAAAAATTACATCACATGCAACACATATCTTATCTCGAAGAGGATCATAGAGACGATAAGCTTTGCTACAAGGTTTGATTCCCATATAAATCATTTTTGAGCTTCGATCACTTAATTTTGTTAAGTGATTCGTTGATGTCTTCACATGCGCAATACAACCAAAAATCTTGACATGTTCAAGAGATGGTTTCTTCCGCTTCCAGCCCTCATACGGTGTCATGCTCTTCAAACCTTTTGTCGGAACTCTATTTAAAATATACACTGCATGCCGGACTGTTTTACCCCACAAATTTTCTGGTACACTCATTGCCTTTAACATGGATCTCGTTGTTTCAAGAACAGTTCGATTTTGACGCTCCACAACCCCATTTTGTTGTTGGCTGTATGGTGCCAAGAGTTGCCTTTTCACGCCCTCTTTATCACAGAATTCGTTGAATTGTTGTGACGTGAATTCACCTCCTCGGTCAGTCCTTAGCATTTTTACCTTATATGCGCTTTCACTCTCGACTTGTGCCTTGAATTTCTTGAATGCCGGGAATTCCTCATCTTTTGTTTTGATAATGTAAACCCACATAAACCTGCTGTAGTCATCTACAATCAGCAGAAAATAATTATTTCCTCCCAATCTTTGTGGTGTGCATAGACTAGTTTCAGTGGGGATGAAACACGATACTCAGTTTCCTTTGGAAAAGGTTGGCGAGTTTGTTTAGCCACCAAGCACCCTTTGCAGACTTGTTTCGGGTGCTTCACTCTTGGCACACCACGCACCATATTTTTCTCAACCATCAACTCCAATATCCCGAATTTTATATGACCGAGCCTCGCATGCCATAACCATGCTTCATCATCGAGCTTATGGCAAGACAAACTGCTTGTATTGACATGGATACGAAAAGATCGGGACTTGCAATTCCACATATTCCAATCGGACCAGTCTTGAGAGCTCGAGCAAAAGCGTGCATTGAAAAATTGCAAGGCATGATAAAGAAATTAGAGAATTGGGGCCCAACGGACGGACTATGTTACAACATGCGAGGACTTGATGGAAAGCCTAGGGCGAGTGCCATGGTTGTAAAGGTTACATTGGAGCTTGCAACGCCTCAATCGGACAACTAAAGGAAAAGTTTTGCAAACCTAGGAGTTTGCTAAAATAGAGGGTTTAATACGTAATTATATAAACCTATGTTACACATTCTCAAGTGGGGGGACCATCCATTGGAACCACTTATATATATATATATATAAATATAATAAACTCTCACATGCCTCTCACATGCAAGGGGGGACCATTAGCTAGGTGTCACTCATGTGGAGGTTACTTACTTATACACAACCTATCCCACATTGGAAAATCACTCCACTTGCCCCTTCCCCCACTCCTATAAATAGGACCCTTAAGGTGCATTGTAAGACACACCAAGCAAGAATATTTTTGTAAATATTTGATCATTTATGATCATTTCCTTTTTATGGAAAGTTATACTTGATAGCAATACTTTCTCTTTTAGTCTAATATTTCATGGAATGCAATTCCATTGCATGCTCCATGGGGTTTAGTTCAAAAATTCGGGTTTGAGTATAAAGCCTCAAGTTCATGGCATTTGGGGAAGATGGAAGAGCTCTCCAAAGTGTCGACCGAGGTGGTGCCTTTGTGGAGGATGGTTCGATGCTAGAAGGGTATCGGGTCATGCTTACGTTAGTACTTACTTAGGTTTGCTTCTCTTTCAATTATCCTTTTTCTCACTTTATTCGTTTCCGCTGAGTTAATTTGTTCTTTTCTTGCTTAGTTAGTTCCGTTTAATTGTTCGTTCTTTCTCGTTGTTCTTTTGATAGTTCCGTTGTAGTTAGTTTATTCCGTGTCTTGTGTAGTTGATCAATTTCGGTCCATGACATGTATGGTATGAAGATTAATCTTGTACACACGGTTTTTCGACCGTTGCACCTTCATGATCAATTTCCCATGTTCATCATGAACCTTCAAGTGTTCGTTCAACATTTCTACCTTGTATCCTTCCTCTGTTAATTGCCCTAAGCTTAGAATATTACTCCGCAAGGGTGGAATGTAGTACACTTCATAAATAACTTTGTGTTCGCCATTTTTGCACTTCAATAAGATGGATCCCTTTCCTTCAATCTGTACTTTGGACCCGTCACCAAAACAAACTTGACCCATTATCTCCTTGTTAAGTTCAACGAAAAGATTTTGTTTCCCCGTCATATGGTTGCTTGCACCATTATCTAAGTACCATACATCATCACCATCTCTTTCACTCTGATTTGGGAGCACTTTATCTTCATTAAGCAATACCTTAGGTAATGTGTTTTCCCCGTAAACACTTAAAAGTAGTGCAGGTTCCTTCTCTTGCGCTTGGGCTAGATTTATTTCATTGTTTTTCTCGTTCGACGATGACTTCCATTCTGACGCACAATGCCCAAATTTTTCACAATTAAAACATTTTATGTGGCGCTTATCTCTGCCCTTGTGTTGATTATACCTGAAATCTCGAGATTGTATAAAATTGACATGTTCACTTTTTCCTCGTCCGTCTCCTCTATCACGACCACCATACCGGCCGCCTTTAGCGTGATGGTAAGATCCACGTCCTCTTCTACCTGATGCCCAACTTCCTCCCGAAGTATTCTGATTCTTTTGAAAATTTGTCTTAGTGAGTAATAAACTTCCCTCATTGCTTGTATTTCCACTGCGAAGCTTCAACCTATCTTCATAAGCTTTGAGTCGGCCAATAGCTTCTTCGAATGGCATGGTATCTAAGTCGCAACATTGTTCAATTGAAGCAACCAAAAGTAAATACATGTCCGGAACTGAATCAAGAATTTTCCGAACAAGTGTATTGTCTTCAATTGTTGAACCAAGATTATTAAATTTTGATACCATGGCGCTCAAGTTTCCAGAAAATTCATCTATCGTCTCACCTTCTTTCATTCGCAACCTTTCGAAATCACTCTTCAGCGTATGCAGTCTTGCCCTTTGCACCCGATCGGCTCCAAGATATCTTGTCTTCAATGCCTCCCAGATTTCCTTCGTGGTCCTCTTCTTCGACACTTGCAGAAGGATGTCTTCTGGAACTGCTTGGAATATAAAAGCCCTAGCCATCTTGTTCTTTTTATCGCTCACCGCCTCTCCGGCCGGTGGTTCGATGGAGTCCCAGATCCCCTGAGAATCCATTATGGCTTCCATCTTTATCGCCCATGTCGTATAATTTTTCTGAGTTAACATGGGACATTGAAACGGGACTGAACCGCCCTCCTTTCCTCCTCCTTCTTCTATCGACATATTTTTCAGTTTGAGATACTTGGGCATCAACTTGGCTCTGATACCAAGTGTTAGAAATTAAATTCACAAATTAAAGATCGGGAATATGCAAAACAAATCTAAATGATTTCTATGATAATAAAAAAGACTGATACACCATCTGTATATTTTTTATATCCTACAAGACCAATGTATACAATCTTATAATTCTAATAGACACGACCTTTCAACACTAACAGACACAATTTTAAATTTGAATTCTAAATAGACATAACTAGCTAGGAAATTAATGGAATAAATAATGACAAATTATAATATATAACTAATCATATAATCAACCAAATACATAATCAGAATTACTCCCAACAACAATATCCTTTTCCACCTGCTGTTTTCTCAAAGGAACCGTAATGCCCAGCCTCCTCTTTTTCCGGCGGCGACAGCAATGTCGAGGATGGATCAGTCTTTTCCTTCTTCTGGGACTAAGATTTTTTATTCTTCACTTCCTTGTGGACATCCTCCTCAGCTGGATCTGAAGCCTTGCTGACGGTATTATTTTGTAATGGTTTCCGCGGCCTCAGGTTCCAGGTCTTGATATCCTCAGTTGCATTTTTGTCCACCTGTGGGGGTGGATTAAGGTTCGGGAGCAGGTGTACTTTTTGGTTTGTTGAGGGAAGTTTCATTTTGATTTTGATTTTTGTTTTAGATTTGGGTGTGGATAAGCAGAATTTGCTCTTATTGTCTGCAAGTGTTCTATTTCTTTCTACAGATTCAGAAGTTGGAGAAACCGCGGCTGAGTGGCTGGCGACAGATTTGCATATTCTTGAGGAATTATATCCCGCCAGCGACAGTTTGGAGACAGATTTTCCTGAAACAGAAGAACCTGCCGCGGCTGCAGTGGAGGAATCGCCACAAAGGGATGGAGTAGATGAATTTATAGCTCTTGATTCCATGGGGGCGGCGGCGAGGGGTCCTTCTGGAGAATGTGTGGGGTTTGTTCTTCCACTGCAGCTCTGGCGGGAGAGTAAAATAGTGGAGCTGCAATTGAGGTTTTCCCTGTTGGCCGGAGAAAGACATATCTTGTTCACTGAATTAGATTGGAGAAGAAAAAATTCCAGCTACTGGTTGAAATTACAGAATTTGACTGAAGGTTGAAGAAGAACCAAAAGATGTAGGGCAAAGATTGTTGTATACCTCACTCTTCACCATGAACACGAAATTAAGTATTATTATTTTTTTCATAACCACCAAATTAATTACTATTATTATTATTATTAGAGAGAGGGGAGAGAATGGTAATTAAGAGTGTGGAATAATAATAAAAACAGTCAAAGAACCCCTAAAAAAAACAGAAACTCACAAAAACTCTAGCCGCTCTATCAATCAAAATTGTTCTCCGGCAGCAAAGAAGTAAACAAAATGTTATGTGACATCTGAATCTAGATGAGAACTAGTTTAAGAGCAAAATAAAGAATAGAAACTAAAATCAAAATCAATCTTCACCCAATGAACAACAAACCAGATTTATCTACTGTTAGTCCTCTAAACTTGGTTGCGTTCTTTATTAGTAGGTTTTACTGGTTTTTACTATTTACATTTTTTTTCCTTAAAACAATATCACATTAAACAATTATTTTTCTTTTTATATTATACTAACAATTTATTTTATATTCAAAACATCATGTCAACCTCTGTTTATATTACATCAAACAATTATTCAAATTCAATTTTTTACCATTAATAAATCCGACCCAAAAACTAAAACTCACAAACAAACATACCGTCACTGTCTTTGGGTTTCCTAGAAAGGCTTTTTCCACCAAGAAATTAGCTTTATATATGGATAAATTTACCCAAAGATGCACACCCATAATAAAGGCTGAATGAAATAACAAAAGTCACATCATTCCCCTAAACACGCAAATGAAATATCCCCACAAGAAACAATTCCGAGATCTCTCTGTCAATCATGTCATCAGCTATGGTCACCTCCTCTGAGTACGCACGACAACCTTCATCTTAGTCTTCAATAATTATTTCAGCCTTCATCCGTCGTTCAACTGAACGTTACGTTGAGCTACGTAGTGTGGTAAAATATATATTCAATTGTGACTTGTATAGACAAAAATATACTGTCCACGTTTTTCTGATAAGTTCCAACAATAGGTATCAGAGCATTTCCGTATTGAATTATTGAGATATATTATCAGATAAATAAATGTTTAAACGGTCCGATTCAATCAATGCATGAGAGACCAAATTTATTTATTTGATTTTGGATTGATTGATGAATCCAGGCGTTGGTGCGGATCTTGAATATTTTAATTAGATAAACTAATTGATTAATTGAAGTTCAATTAAGATGTGTAGAAATCAGCCATCCTGTCTGTGTTGTCATTGAATTTCAGAACAAACACGAATCCATGCGCATTACAAAGGCTCTGCATGAATCCATATATTATTGGAATTAAATTGTTGGGGTTTGTTTGTTTACTTATTTATTTATCTTGATCACTGCGCGATTTTGGCATCTAGATTAATTTACTTGTTTGATCAAAATTGTTCGCATCAAGACACACATTATTTTTGTTGCACAAATTGATGTCTATTTTATTTTAATACTATTAATAGATGTCTGTTGCAATTAGACGATTTGATGTCCATTTAGATTGCTTTCAATTTTTCGTTCATGAATTGTGGTGTCCTAATTGGATTAATTAATGGAATGAAATATGTGTGGACATTTCGTGCAATCATGTTCATGCGTTATGATTGAGATCAATCATCTAATCGTGTAAATCGGATGCATACTTTCAGCTGCATTTACGCAATGATTTATTTCCGCCAAAATCATTATTACATATATATAATATTTTATGAATCAAAGCAGCCATATTAGATTATGAATGTGATTGTGTATCTGCATTTGTCCATTTTTATACATGTTTGCATGCATGTGTACTATGGTAAATTAATTATGTGTAAAATTATGTTTATGCACATATGTTAAAATTCATGTTGATTGAAGTTCAATTTATATGCATCTAGTTGGAGGATTGTTAACCAAATTGGTTAATTAATCTAGGCATATTAATGTATCTGCAATTAGATTTAATAGGTGCAGAATTCATTTATTGATTTTATTTCTCATTTTATAAATCAGTTCATCCTGATCCATTCGAGGATCCAATTAAATTTGATATATAATCGCTTGTATTTTCGACGGTATGCGTTTTTTCAAATTCAACTATAAATATTCATTATATTTAATTTATAGTCTCTTTGGATGACATTTTTGCATTTATAATTCCGTTGCATTTAGTCTTTCTTGGACTACTTTGTTATTTTAATAAGTTTATAAATTAATTGCTATTGTTATGACTTTCATATATATATATATATATTGGACATACATATTTATTTTAAGGTGAATTTAATTAGCAATAAATAATATAATATATTTTATGAATTGGTTGAAACAAATATGCTGTTAAAGCAACCCCTATTGTGTAGATCAGTTTATTTAATATATTAGAAGGTTGCGTATGTAATTTATAAAGCTTCCGACTGACCAAAAGGAAAGTCAGTGATTAAGTAGTTACATACTACTTTATTGTCAAAACAAGTTTATCATTGGCTAGTCAGTAATTTGTCCAACGACATTTGCTGATGTTGCTCGATAACTCGTGATATATTGCTAGCTTATTTTATAAATTCACATACGAAACATTCCCATCCTTGATCCAAAACATCTGCCCATCGTCATCAAAAGGACATGCCAGTGAAAATGGAAACCTGGGGTTTTTGGACACTTTCCTTGAGATAGGATAATGAAAAGGGCGACTTCCTTCGGCCGCCGCTCGACTAAACATACCAATAGTCACCATATTTGCTTATAGACATGTGCATTCAGTTGCTTATGCATAGTCTTTATTTTTGTGGAATCAGATCCGTATATATTGAACACAACTCTGATTCTAATTTAGTTTAAGGAAATTATAAATTCATTAATAATGCTTGCAGCGTTTTGACGGTGAAAATCAAGTATTTGACGTTCCCAAAATAATCTCTCTTATATGAGATTTTTACTTGATAACGTAAGTGTTTATGTGTATTTTAATTCATGTGATTATTTTTCGGCCCAAAGGCAGTTGGTAATTAACATAATGAAATATACATCAACGATAATATGTATGGGATGATTATATGGTTTTAACTTATGTGAATTGTGAAGCAGTCCAAAGATTGGTCATTGTTTGATATTATTTATTGTCCGTATATGATTATTGCAACAAGATGACTGCTAGCAATCAATGTTATTGATCCAAAGATTGATCATTGTACTTACTGTCTTGGGATGAGAATACATTATTCTTGAGCTTCATTATGTTCCATAAATATTTATATATATATATATGTCAGTCCCAATATGGTATGGGAATACAATATCTTTTCGTATCCGTTTTTGTTACAATTTTTTGTTTGTGATAAAAAATAAAAGTTTTTTGTAACGAAGCATAGTCGTAACAAATAATATATTGTAAATATTTTCTGACATCCATATTATCTTTTTGTAATGGTTTTTTTAACATGTCTCTGTGACAAAAAATAAACCATTTGTCCATTAAAATTACTTTTTGTTACGACTTAAATATACAATTGTAACGATTTTTAAAATAATATCTATTTCGTGACAATTCTCATACAATATTTTTTTCCATATTTCCTACAAAATCCATCATAAAGCCTATAAAACAAAAATGATCCAACCACTGTCTAAGAGATCCCATAATCAGTTACACTAACAATTGTCTCAACTACGCACGGAAGGGCTACATAATGAGCAAAGAAACCAAAATTATATACTTATGAGCAAAATAATCATCTAGTAAGCCCAAAAGACATCATAATTATACGTAAAATGT